TTTGCTGAATCTCAGCCCCCCTGTCTGATACTCGCTCCAGTAGTGTCACCCTCCATATGTTGCGGTTGAATCCCTTTAACCTCCGTGATATTAACGAATATATTGAGCTGGCAACTTATGATGGAAAGTCCTTGAAGGACTGGTTATTGCCCTCAGTTGATGTACGACATCGATTCGTAGAATTGTTGAAAAGGAAGACAGGAGGTATTCCGTTGATTGTAAGGAATACTTTATTAGCCCTAGTAGAGAAAGTTGCAAACTTATCTCAACCTGTTATCAACAATGACAATATGGAACCCTTATTAGATAGAATCTTTCACTTGGTACTACTAGAGTCGGTGACGATTATTATTCCGGAGATACCTGATTCCGCAACCCTTCTTCGATATCAATTTGTCCTTTTGAATTATCTGCTCGGAACAGTTTTTCCAATTAACTTTATAGTTACTATATGTGGAACAAAAACTTATTTGATGGACTTGGTTGCAACTTTTGGGTTTTATTCTGAAAGTTGTGGAACTGACGGGATTGATATGGGGACCGAATTCAAGATTGGTTGTTGTGAATTTATATTGAGAGCTCATAGCAACTATAACTTTTTCCTTGAGGCTACTGAACTCTTTCCTTTATCTCCGTTTAGTTATATTCCCGACACTTCAACAGCAAAAGGAATCTTCTTTGAATTTGTATTTATGAAGATCTTTCGCTTTCGCTTATTAACTTTTCTTCATTCTAATTCCTCGGCTATTGTACATTCTGCTATTCCAGGAATTTTCCAGGGTTCTTTTATTGAACAGGACAATGTTTCTTATTCTATGGAATCAACAAAATCTTATGATATACCCATCTTGAGAAATGTCTCTCGTTCATTTTCTGTTCATTATAGAGATTATTTACAACGTTGTGGTATTTTTGTTCCAAAGGAGGGCAATTCGAGTGGTCCTGATGCATATGTTGTATTCCATAATGGACAAACACGTTACGTTGTTGGATTTTCATTCAAATTTTATCACAAAACTGAATTTTCGAAAACAAATATTGAGGAAGAAGCCAAAAAATTTTTTAAGGGAGTTGTTTCCGTTTTGAATGACGAATCTTTTTCATCTGTTCAACTTCGTTTTCAGTTTGTGGTGGTAGTATGTACTAGATATGATCAATCTGTAGGTTTCTCTACCGAAGAACAGAATATTGTTGAAGATGCAAGTGATTTGGTAACTCAACATTCTTCGGGATCAACTTTGAATGAAAGTAGTCGATCATGTCTGCAATTGGTAATTGTTTCTCAAAGGAACCTTGAAATGTATTTGGGAAGAGATAATGTCGAAACATTGAGGAAAATTGGAGAAGCAAACCGAGAAGAGTTTTCTAAAAACTTTTCAGTATGGTGTGAAACTGTCTTTGAGTCGATGTCCAATGAATATGTTTCACCTTTGGAGCAATCAAATGTTACTTTAAGAGTAGCTCGAAATATAAGACCGAGAACAAATGAGGAGAATAGGATGCAAATCGAAGAGCTTCAAACTGCTATGAAAGTGGAACGAAGTGTCGCAGCATCGAGTTCTTTGTCTTCGTCATTTGATTGGAATACTTTCCTAAGAGAATATTGTGGTCTTTCTGAAGAAGATGTTGCTTATTGTCTTCCGAAAGTGGAAGATATTGATATGGACGAGCTTCCAGCGGTGACCAAAGAAATTTTAAGGGACTTGGGTATAGATAAACCTGCGTTGAGGTTGAAGATAAGATCTTCTATAAGGTCATATCTCGCTAACGAACGATGAATGTATTTGAGAGTTTTGTCATTTTTTCAATATGTTTCATTCGTTGTAGTTGCAACTCATAAATACAAAATTTTCTTTTATTCTATTATCGAACATTGAAGATATTAACCTGCTTTACTCGATTTTGAACAAATGCTTTCACAGGAGATATGGAGTCTTTTCATGTTTAGTGAGTTTTATTCAAGAAAATATTCCACTAAAAGAAATATAAAAAGCTATTGGTATAATAACTGGTATAGATAGAATTTATCTTCATACCATAGTTATGCTGCGACAGGAGAAAGATAGCGTTGTAAGGAAGTTCTGTCAACTCTCCAGCGACGTTAAAGCCTTTCAACAAAGTTGAGTTTGACCAACATTATCTTTGCAAGGTAAATTCCAATTCTATTGCAACTACCTTTGACTTGTTCTCAAACTGAGAATCTTCCTTCGTTGGCCTTAACAAAGCCTCGGAAAACTGCTTGAAAGTGCAAACTGGTCATTTTCCCAACTTCAACGGGAGCAATTCTATCAACTTGCGCTGTAAAAACTGTAATATTTCCTTCAAAGTATAATCTTTGTTCGATTATCCAATCCTAGAATTGGAAAAGTTACAAAGGTCTTGGTTATACCTTACGTAAAGAACTTGAGAGTTTTGACTGTTATAACAGCAAAAGTGGAGATGCTTTTGCGTTTCGTAGCACGTATATTTCACGATTTACCGTTTCTTTTTACGTGCAAAGAGGACATGAAATATTCTCTTTCCAAAATTTCTAGAGTTATTCTTTCTTTCGCTAGTAGACGATATTTTCCAATCTATATTATCTTTGAGAGAGCTAAATATTTACCTGAATGTGATGAATCAATAAGATAGACTCTGGTAGTAAAGGAAAAAGACCAATAGTTATATTTTATTTCCCTAAAGAAAAGTGACGTTTTTCTTTTTCCTGGTGCCATTTGGATATGTTCCTCGCCTGTTTACACAAAACGTCGAATTGTCTTTGTCAAGTCCAAAAAAAAATTTACCCGTGTACCAAACAGTTACTAACCAAGCTTCCGTAGTCTAGTAGTTGTTGTACTTTGGGTTATGAAAGTATGAGTTGAATATTCTCACACCGTACTCCAGTTTTTTAGCCTTTTTCTTCAACTAAAGGCAAAAGATTATTAGTGTCAACATATTTCAATTTATCTTGTTCTTAACCAAACAACTCAAAAGGGGGTTCTGAAAGTTTGAAGCAATACTCAAAGTTGGATACGACTTGCAGCAACTGTATGTTGTCATTGTAGTCTAAGTATATTCTCAAGTTTGAAATTGACTGGTTTATTGTGAAGCATAGTCCCACAGTGAAACATATTTGCACATTTTCATGAACAAAGAGTCATTATGTCAATGCAGATGAAAATCAAAGCTTGGCATTGGACTTGCCAATACTTTGATATCCTTTGACACAAGCCAAGTGCCAGTCTATTTCGTTTGTATTTTCTTGAAACTTTCCACATTCTAATAAATGTAGTAGCAAGAATTCTTTTCAGAAACTGCAAATACTACGAATCGCTTGTATGGAAACAACTCTAGTTTGCAGTGTTCAAAGAACTATAAGATTATGGCTCTATCATATGCATATAATATCCTAAAGAGATAGGAGTTAACTCTAGTGAAACTGTTTGTGAGACCAAAACCGTGCAATCTATGTAGGATTACAAATGTTCACTATGAATGCAGAAAAGTAATCATGTCATAATGATCATATGTTTACGATGTCCATCAAAAGCATCCACAAAGTAGCAGAATGAAATGCAATTTGGCGAATACTTGCAAAATTTTTCAGTTGACTATACATACTGTCTCATAACCACATTCTGGTAGGCTACACCTTCCCAAGTTACCTTGGAGAAATACCAACAAGTCGGCTTCAAAAGGGAAAAGCATGCTCATGTTTTCTACTATCAAAAAGTTTTCTAACGTTGGGTAGTAAAAGCTTTGGAAATTATTCGATGCAACCACGTGGCTGCGTCTAACACGTTTGACAATGGCCCTTTCGCAAATAGTGGCAGACAATCAATATCATAATTACAATATGCTCATTAGCAGCTGGGCTGGTATCTTGTCTAAGTTGTGGCTATAAAGCTCACGAAGAAAGGCTAAGTGAAGAAATGCAGCATTCATTCCGCACCAAGAAAAGTGCCGGTTGTTCGTTGCCACATTCAGACCACCTATATCTAAAGTTTCTTGCTCTGAAAGAAATTCATTATTGTGAGTGAAACAACAGGAAGTCAGAATCTGGGCCTTTTGATTTTAGGAATAAACTCTTTTTCATAACGGTCTTTGTCATATATAACAAGTTAGTCGAAAAGGAAATAAACAAGTTTCTCTTTGTAAAGTCGTCTACATAACTACCATATTCTGTGGAAAGTTAACTATAGTTTGACTATGTGCTAAAGTTTATGTTTGGAGCCAACACCCGAAGTATCCCAATAATAACGAAGTTTCGCTTCTCCATTAATATACCTTCTATCTACTCACATATGGAGGCGTTAATTAAGATGAAACTGTTGTTCAACAAAATAAACTCACGACAGTATAAAGTCCAAAAATTTTCTCCACATATTTAAGGAGCAGGGAAAACTCTTCTTGGCGATAACGCTATTTCCCAGTATACTAGAAAGAAATGAGGATTTTAATTTTGTTAGAAGACTACGCTTCCTCATTACAATTCCCTAGTTGTCGAGTCTGTCACTCTCAAAGACCAAGAAACAAGCATTTTATTTCAGGCTTTGTAACTACTTGATACTGATAGCTTGCTGTTACAGCGCTGCAGTGAAAACCTTGAAGGTTGATTTCGGGTACAGGTCGTTGTCACTGAAACAGTGCTAGAAGAAACAGTTCGAGACATGCTATGATTCCTCGGAAAAACTATCAGGAGCGTTAGTACTATTAAATATTGCACTAACTACTGCAGAGAATTTCAATCCATTTCCTATGTTACGTAAGACAGGAATGCAGACGAAAAAAGAAGTTGGCAACTATGTTGTATTGTACGAGACGTATACTGGTGTAACTAAAAACCACTTTTTTCACACCAACCTGGGCGTCTCGCGTCCATCACTATTGGCGAAACTTCTCTTAGTATTTCACAGCACTATAAAATACCAAAAGTAAACGAATATATTCTTTGCCCTGGTTCGCCGTAATTTCGTGTATCTTATTGAGAAAAGATGAAGCGATTAAAGTTTGCCTCTCACACATCATTATAGCTTCTTCGTAGCAAGTTGAATTACTAGAACAAACAACAATAGTACCATTGCTGTTATAATATTTGTCGCAAGTTTATCTCTTAACTGAATATTGGTTGTCCTTCGTTGAAAACCAAGTTTCTTTCTACGAGCTTCTTACTATATGGAAAAACACTTTTTCGAGGATCCAAGAGATACTTGTCAAGAAGAGAAGCTTCCAGAAAAAACTCTAGTCTGAAAAAGTAAAAGTGGCTTCTAAAAACATAAAGAACAAGGAACTCGTTTTCTAGTGGAGGGTAAGCTGGACAAAATATTCGTCGAGTTGGATGGAGCTGTTCTCTTTGCATTCTGTCCGCGCCGAATGTCTTCCGTTGCTCTGGAATCAGAAACGTTGATAGGGATGAATGTGTTTGTAGACTTCATCAGGCTTCATAAACAGTAGATCCATCTGATCGCACTCAAGGTTTTGTTGTTCCTATGCCGCAGAGAAAGAAGAGAAGCCCGCTGCGCAATGGGGAGACTGGGCTTTAAGTCTCGTCTTGACTCTCAAAATCAGCTTTACTTTGATGGTGAGTTCAAAAGACTTTCAATGCAATCAAGTTCAAGGGTTGCTCCTAACTGATAATAGAATTGGAAGTTTATCTCTAAAGTTTGTAAGTATCTTTGTAGATGAGTTTAAATGGAGAACAACTAATGGTCACATTTTCTGTTGTGGCCCGGTTTTTTACGTATAAACAGTTTATCACAGCATCTCTAAAAGACAGTTGAATCTAGTTTTCTCCCCAATTAAGATTCTCACAATATCAGTCGATCAGCAATTTATCAGATAAGATGTTCAACAAACGAACTAGTCTTGCTTCGTAAATAGACAAGAAAGAATTGTTCGAATTTGCTATTCCAAGTTTTCTTGTTTTAAGAAGTCTGCTTTACAGCTTTGTGGCTATCACAAAACTTAAATATGATCGATTGGGGGAATCCTATTTGTTGTTACTCCTCTAACTATTTTTTAAAACAAAGTGAGAAAACTGAAATTGACGCCAATGTCTTTATCTCAAGATATATAACGTATTTTAAGAATTTTCTTTCTGTTTTCCTATTCGCACCTAGTGCCTCCCATAAACGTTTCCTTCATAAGGACAAAACGGAAAATTTAACGGAAAACTCTTTGGAATGATGCATCGCAGCAAACACTATCTTCAAACACTTCCAAGAGGATGAAGAAACATTGCAGAAGTTTTCCATATATGATTTCCCATTCAGGAACACTGGAACAAGTTTGAATTCAGGAATACAGAAATGGGAGGTTTTGCTTTTGAATATAAATTTCCAAAGATTTGCAGTTCAATTATTGTGTTACACTAGTTTTTCTTGCTAAACTAATATGACTAAGAAATAGCAAGTTGTAGTGATTGGAATAGTATATGTCAGTTTGACCTTCATCAAATGAGCTCCATTTCTTCTCTTTTGTGCAGCGTCACTCCTAGGACATTCTCTACTTGTGTTCTTTACCGTCTGCTTCTTCTTACTGTTATGAGAATATGGCCACAATTGTGACGGATGTGGTGAAGTTGTTTTAGCGGCCTCAAATCCTGGTCACGAACCGTTCTGTAGTGCAGTTCCAGTACCTTGCTCTTTCTCTGACTGTAAACGTCGCCCCTCTCTTGAAGAACTAGTATCGCAAGAATTGAATTGCTCGTTTTACTTGTGCTTTGCTTGCATGAAGGCTGTGTAGAATACCAAGGAACTTCGATGTCAGCTTATATCTTGAAGCTTGTGGAACGAGAAAGGAAGAGGAACCATGTGCTCACATCTGCCAACTTGATGCGTTTCTGGGTGGAACTATTGAGTGAGCACTATCAAGCTTTGTTTCTGGAATATTTTTCGCAAGTCCAGCCAAGCCGACTTTTGGCAGGACTTCTTTTTGAAAAGTTGGCACTCTGAGGAATACCACAGGAATCTTGTGAAGGCTTACTATCGAAATCACAATAGAAGAGTTTTGGATACGATTCGAAAGCCACAGGATATTTTTTGTGTTTCCTCCTTTTTGCATTTAAAGCTAAGTTTGATTTGTTAAAAGCATTTTGAGTCGCTAAAAAATCTTACCTTTGAGAGACAGTTAGCGAGAATGAAAATGCGAAACAGACCAAATGCTGTGCTATCCAGAAAAGAGAGATATGATCTTGGAATAATGCCCTGCTATGTGTTTGATGGCAAACCCCCAGAACTAAATAGTGGAGAGTTGAATGGCTTGAGCACCCCAACAGACGAAGATATGAAGTCAAAGAGCGTTTTCAACAGCCAACTTCCTATATGACTGAATTAAGGAAATATAGGTCGTTGTGATAAATGTGCCCCAGTGTTCTTTCACTAAGTTAGCTGACAGCGGATTCGCTGCATTAGAAAGTTTCGTGAGGAGCTTCTTTATGAGGTGAAACTTCCCTATACTACATAAATAGAAGCTAATTTTCGTATTCTAAAAATTTTGGGCAGTTTGTAATAGCATTCTTCTTTGTTCATTTCACTTCGATGAGTGTTTGACTGAATATATAAATTTTTAAAGATATTCGTAGACGTCAAGATTCGAAGCGACACTATTCGTTTACGACGAGAGTAGGCAACAGAAACCTAATAGAAGTAAAACCCCATAGCTTAATTTCATTTCGTTTTTCCTCGTCCAAAAAGTCTATTTTGTAGAGCTCTCCAGAATATTGAACTGAACACATTCGGAGCTATAACATCTGATGTATATCAACTTAAGGAGTATCCTATCGGCAGCAAGTAACTACTGCGGTTTAGTCAAATGAAAACTTTATTCTCCAGTCGTTGTGTTAGCAAGAATATCACACTTTTATAATGTATAATCTCAAGCCAGTAGCTCTCGACAGAACCCATATCAACAGAAGCTGTAGTAGCATCCTTGTCAAATGATGTACTGGATAGATTATCATTCACTTTGAAGTTGCTTAGTGATAAAAATCAGGAAAACGTGAAATAAGAATAATTGTTACATGACGAAGTAATGAACACTTGTCTTGATAAATAGTGTTCGTTCGATCAGTAATGATGCGAAAAATCGAAATAAGATGGTAGATTGTTTTCTTTATTTTGTGTGCTGTTGGAATCAAAACAGAATAACAATCATCACTACTATGCGTTTATCTATAATGAAGTTTTCAATTATATGAAACTCTTTCTTGAGTTTTCTTCTTCAAAGTCTTAGTTATCTTATATTATAGAGAGTCGTTAAGCTATATAATATTGATGAAAAGTTCTTCTGTGGACTTGTCGACGACCACCAAGTCACCAGACGATACGAGTGACTTGGGTAAGGTTGAACCCATCCAGTCGTTCAAGGATAATAAACCCACGACCAACAAGAACGGTAGGCTTTCTTTCCGTTATAGGATCCAAAGTAACACTGCTTGACTTTTTTTTTGTTTCAGATAGCGCTATAGGAGAGCGTCATAAAGCGTCTGCTAACTTTTATGCTGGTGCGTTTTCTGGCTTAGTATCTACGTTATGTTTGCAACCTCTTGACGTGGTTAAGACTCGAATGCAGCAAGGTTCTCAATATATTGTGAGTCCAAGTGTTACTTTGCAACGAGTGTTGTCTCCAAGGTAGTTTGTTTCCTTCAAGTTTCTATACTTTTTCTTTTTCGACTAAGATATAATTATTCTTTTCTCTTTTTATACCTCTATATAGGAACCCTCTTTCTGTAGCAGCCAGTATAGTTGCTAATACGGGTATATTGAGTTTATGGAGAGGAACTTCTCCTACCATAATTCGTAACTGTTTAGGTGTTGGTATTTACTTTGTTTCCTTAAACGCCATAACGAACTTGATGCAGTCTGATGACCCAGAGACCCATATGCCAGCTTGGAAAACTTTGTTAGCTGGAGGGCTTTCGCGTTCACTTTCAGCCGTTCTTCTTTGTCCTTTATCTGTGTTGAAAACCAGGTTTGAAGCTCAAGTTATCGATCAAAACCGCGGAATTATCAAAGCACTTGTAGAAATATACAAAAAGGAACGTCTTCGTGGTCTCTTTAGTGGACTTGTACCTACTATTGTGAGAGACGCTCCATATTCTGCAAGTTATTTTCTTATATATTTAAGAGTTCGTGAAGGTCTTTCTTCGATAGTGAATGGAACTTATTTTTCACATCTATCGATGACAAAAACAAACATTTCCTCTTCACCTTCAGAATATCATATGATAACTATGTCAGTTAGTTTCGTAGCAGGTTTAATAGGGGGTTTCGCAGCTACTTTTCTTACACAACCACAAGATGTTATCAAAACCAGAATGCAGTTGAGAGCTTATTCAATTAACCGTTCACAACAGGACGCCTCAACCATAGAAGTTATTCATACAATCTATCGAGAAGATGGTATTGTTGGATTTTTTCGTGGAGCTTCTCCTCGTTTTCTTAAACGTTGCTTGGGTTCTGCTATAACATGGATGATATATGAGGAGTTTGTGGCTATCTTTGATAAACTATTAAATGAAAAAACTCAAAGACAGTCATCTCAACATGTTCGAGCATGATGAATGATACGTATTTGAAAAATATTGGAAAATGTTGGATACTCCTTATCTAAAAAAGAAAGGCTCGTTTGAAGGCTTTCCTAGTCACTATTCTTTTGTTGATAATGGAAATATGCTTGCTCTTTATATAATATACATAATATAACAATATGAGCCTCTTAAGAAAATGATAATTTTAAAACAGTACGTGAATAACTGTTCCTCATGTAATATAAAATAATATCTACCGAAACTTTCATAGAGTGTGATGAATGTAAGAATAGTAAGCAGCTGAGAACTGAAGTATATTATCATTCCTTGTTATTGTTCAAGTTACCTTCCTCAAAGCACAACTCCTGAATGAGAGCACAAGGTTTTGAATAGGTTTTTGATATTTGTGAAGATAAATATTCGTTTGGTTGCTTGTCTGTTCGCACTGCAAAAAGTAGAGACTGTGGTGAGTCTAATATATGGCGACGTTGATTTTTTTGTTCATAGTTTGAGCTTGCTTCTGTCCCCTGGTCAACTAATGCTTGTGTAACTAGCGAATAAAGCCTATGGCATTCAGGGTTATTGGGTTCCAGCTTTCGTACTTGTTCCAAGCTAGCAAGCGCAGAGTCCAACTTGTTGCTTACGAGACTTTGCTAAACAAATTTCAATCAGTATAAAGAAAATCTAAGAAAGCTGTTAACTGGTAAGTTGCTTTCCAAAATTTCTTATGAAGATCTTTGGCAAGGGTCTTCAGCAATACTTGTAGGTCTCGTTCGATTAGGTTCTTACGAACTGTCAGTGTGCTACGGATGTTATATTGAATCGTTGAAGTTCAAAGTCAATGGTGTCATAGAAAAACCAGATTGATAAAGAATTGAGCTTAGATTCTCACCTTGGAATTCCAACAGAATGGAAATAAGGCAATTTGAATTAGAATCTTTAAAGCCCTTAGACAACTTTGAACTTCAAGGGCTGGTATTTTCTTGCTCCTTTGCGTGAACATGTCTTCTACAGTCAGAGAATCAATCGACCGAAGTATACAACTTTATAGAACTATCTGAAATCTTGACTTTTCACTCGTCGTATTGTAGCAACTCAGTTTCTATAGAAACAGAATTATAAAGGTTGGAAAGAAACATAGCAATGCAATTTCATGTCCCCTATCTTTTGGTTACAAAACCTTGCTGACAAGCCAAGAATCGAAAAGAATGTGTTTCCAAGCTTCCAAAGTAAGGTAACTATCTGTAACCCACAAGTACACGTCTATTGTATCCAGGCCAAAATGATATTCTTGGTACGAACAACGCTTTGAAAGCGAGCAGATTTTTGTGTCTTTATTGTCACGGTATTATAGTATGTCCAATTAGAAAGAACTACTCCTGTTCTGCTGCTGACTGAGAAGTCCGTTTAGGTTGTGTTTTCGAAACGATATATAGAAGCATAAAATTCTTCCCCTTGAGGAGTTATACCGAATATTTCATGTTCAGAATACAAGTCGGAGAAGAGAATACGTAACAACCGATTGATCTGTCCTAAACTGGACAGATTGTTTTTAAGAGAAAAGAGGAGTTTGAGACTGTTGCGACCAAATGGGTTTTTTCTCAGATCATAACAGTTGTTTAGAGAAAGTGAGATGAACATTTGAAGTGAGCTTTAGTCTCAACTAATTCAGCGCTTTTTGGAGAAATTGTTAGAACTTGTAATGAGATAATGATATAGCAAGTTCCTTTATCTGTGCAACATAGACGGGAAGTTTTCTTATCACAATACATGTATACCTATCATTCGACATTTTAATATTCTAAGAGAAGCCAGTATTAGAGGAACGCATCGCTGATATTTTATCTCTATTTTAGCACATCATGGCTAGAAAATGAAGGCTTCAAACGAAATAACTAGTACAACAGCTTTCAGAATGTTCTAATCCTCCTGCTCGCATCAGGTGTCTTCCACAAGACACCAACAGATTCTTTTCTAGTTCAAATATTGACATAAATAGCGGTCCTATATGACGAATGGAATCAAAGTTTGCTATTCTCTATAGCGTATTCCTTCGGCAATTGAAAAGCGAATGTGTCTATAAAGGGAACTAAAATTCTTAGAAAGTAGAACAAATGATTGGCGAAGAAAAATGCATTCTATTTTCTAAGAGCATATGTTTCGACATTATTATTTCATTTTATTGGTGCTTACCAGAATAGAATTTTAGCTTTGTTTAACAATATGTTTCCGTCTCTGCTAGGACATTAGACAATTGCTTCATACTTTCTAATCTAATAAGAATAATCGAGCGCCAAATTTTTTTGGATTGCCGAATTTTGAAATGGCATCCTCCCATGCTCTCTCTGTAGGTTCTGTTAAGGCAATTTATGCCGGAGAAACCACGCAACAAGCAGTACTGCAGGTTTTGGAGCTAAAAAAGATAATACCAAGCGGACAAAATGTGCCACAAACAGAAAGATACCGCATGGTGCTTTCTGACTCTAGACACTACCAACAATCCATGCTATCGACTCAGTTGAACGCTTTGGTGAGAGAACAAAAGGTTCAGACTGGTTGTTTAGTGCGGTTGTTAGAATATGTGGTTAATGATGTGGCACAGAAACGGTAGGCACTTGCAATTGGTCTTAAGACTGCTACTAAGGAATCGAACAAGAATCATAATAGTCTTGAACTTAGAACCTGTAACAGGACCTCTCGAAAAAATTGGCAACCCCGTAAACGTAGAACAAGCACAAAACGTTCAAACAGGGCTAGGCTCCAAAATGCGGGACAATCTTTCCGAGCAACCGAGCAGGGTGCCTTCCTCAACTGACCTCAAGCAACCCCAAACTTTGCCAGAGTTTCCAAACAAAATTACCAGAGAAAGTGAGAAACATAATGCTTCAGTTCCACTTTCTGCGAATTCTGTTAATATTCAATCGAATCGAACTCAGTCATTTCACGTAAAGAGCGAATCAGGTCCTGTCGTGAAAATGGAGCCTTTTGTTGGAAGCAATTTAGAGCCCGTGCAAAGTATTGCTTCGTTGAATCCATACCAAAACAAGTGGATAATTAAAGGAAGGGTTTCTAGTCGTGGCGAAATTCGTCATTATCAAAATGCGAAAGGTGAAGGTTCTGTATTCAGTTTTGAAATTATGGATTCTACTGCAAGCATTAAAGTAACAGCCTTTCGCGAAAATGCCTCTTCTTTGTACAAGTTGATCGAAATTGGAAAGGTTTATCGCATTTCGAAGGGTGTATTAAAGCCTGCAGACAAGCGATTCAACAAAACATCATTTGAATACGAAATGATCGCTGATAATAACACAGAAGTTGTGAGTTGTCTTTTTATACTTTGTTGACCATCTGACAAGATCAAGGTCCCTGTTGAAGACGTTGGAGAAGTTCCAAATGTTATTTTTCATTTTACAAAAATCGCGAACCTGGAAAACATTGTTGCAGGCCAATTCTGCGACGTACTTGGTATAGTGAAGGATGTCTCCGAGTTGTCTTCAGTAGTCTCGAGAACTACGGGTATTACCCTGGCAAAGAGAACTGTTGTTTTGATGGACGACAGTCTGAAAACCATTCGGCTAACATTATGGAAAGATATAGCAGAAAATTTACTCCATTCTTCCGAAGGTAACCCTATCTTGCTGTGTAAAGGAGTTCGGTAAGTTGTGCCTTTTGCATGCCACTTTAATCTAAGTATTGTTTTTATTAGACGAGGAGACTTTAACGGAATCTCTTTGGATGCAACTGTTCAATCATGTTTTGAAGTAAACCCTGATATTGCAGAAGCACATGAGTTGCGCGGTTGGTATGAGACGACTGGTAAACACCAGGAAACGAGTTCATTAGAGGGAGCAACCTCCTTGTCACTTGGAAATACAAAGGAAAGGAAAACCATTTTGCAGGCTAGCGAGGAAGACATCCCTAAACTCATAAATGATCCTCGTGGTGTGCAATTTATAGTACGTGGATATTTACATTATATTCGGAAGGAAGGAACTTTATGGTACACAGCCAGCCCCGATGATAACAAAAAGGTTACGAAACTGGACGAAAATCGGTAAGAAAGATACAGTTATTATTCACCATTTCTGATTGAAAATAGTTGGGTATGCGATGCTACCGGAAAGGAGTATTCTTATTGCAACTATCGTTATATTTTATCTGTCGCCATACAAGATGCAACCGGTTCCTTAAATGCAAATGCTTTTGATGATGTTGGTTCACGCCTGATTGGTCGATCAGCTGAAGAACTAGCTGCCATTTACGAACGTGATAGAGCGGAATTTGATGCCATAATTGATGATGTTCTTTTTAAGCCATTCATTTTTCGTATAAGGGCGAAACAGAATACGTGGAACGACGAATTACGTCTTCGATACCACATCGTTAACGTGGAACCGATTCACTTTAGTTCAGAATCGCAATTATTGTTGAACGAAATTCAGGCGTTCACAATCTGTTGAACTGTGAGAGTAAAAGACAATAAACAATTATTGCGTTTCTCATGGAAAATACGGACTCCTTAAACAAGAAGTATGTAAAACTTTCTGTAGGAATCACTTCAGTGACTCTAGGCAGCCTTTTCTATTTTTTAGGTGATAAGATTCCTCCTACACAAGTTGAAGCAAGACTGAAAGAAAGACTGGAGTGCTTGAACGCTTCCAAACAAAATTCATGGAGTGTGGAATTGGAAACCTGGTTTAATCGAGACACAAAAACTTGGCAATATATTTTAAAGTCGTTATCCGACAGTAAAGGAGGAGTACTTCTTGCCTTTAGGGACGATTCTGTGTCAAATGAAAAATATCGTCTTTTTAAAGCTGACTCACAAGCGTCCCAGTTAATGGAAAAGCTTCAAACAGTGCAGACGAAAAGCACAGTCAGTCTCAAGGTTAGATCCAAAGAGAGCTATTTATGTATTTAGCGTTTAGTGTCTTGTCTTAGGGCGCTGAATATTCATTTGGCGACTTCATAGTGCGTCTTGGGTCCGTATTCGAAAGAAAAATACCTTCTTTTGTCGTAGTACAAATCTTATATGCTCCTTTCCGGGAGACTTTAGTTCCCCAGAATGTCTTTCAGGAGGTCATGCATTCTTTGTGCAGGACTATCTTTGAGACCCCCTCAAGTAGTCACCAAGGTTCAGAAGTTCCTCCACAAGACGAGAAAACTCAAACTCTAAAAAAAGAAGAGACTTTTGAAGGCTCGAAGGAAGCCCGACACTACTCTCAGTTTCATGATTTGGTGCAAGGAAGAAACTCAGAAATATCCGAAACAGCATTTCAATTCTTGTATTTGTTAAGTTTAAGTTCTCGGTCCTAGAAGCAGATATTTTCTCTTTCATTTGGATCATTTCGGTGCATTGAACTAGAACATATTGAATCTACCCAACGTCACGTCATTGTATTGCTTCCGTTTAGTCAAATGAAAACTTTATTCTCCAGTCGTTGTGTTAGCAAGAATATCACACTTTTATAATGTATAATCTCAAGCCAGTAGCTCTCGACAGAACCCATATCAACAGAAGCTGTAGTAGCATCCTTGTCAAATGATGTACTGGATAGATTATCATTCACTTTGAAGTTGCTTAGTGATAAAACTCAGGAAAACGTGAAATAAGAATAATTGTTACATGACGAAGTAATGAACACTTGTCTTGATAAATAGTGTTCGTTCGATCAGTAATGATGCGAAAAATCGAAATAAGATGGTAGATTGTTTTCTTTATTTTGTGTGCTGTTGGAATCAAAACAGAATAACAATCATCACTACTATGCGTTTATCTATAATGAAGTTTTCAATTATATGAAACTCTTTCTTGAGTTTTCTTCTTCAAAGTCTTAGTTATCTTATATTATAGAGAGTCGTTAAGCTATATAATATTGATGAAAAGTTCTTCTGTGGACTTGTCGACGACCACCAAGTCACCAGACGATACGAGTGACTTGGGTAAGGTTGAACCCATCCAGTCGTTCAAGGATAATAAACCCACGACCAACAAGAACGGTAGGCTTTCTTTCCGTTATAGGATCCAAAGTAACACTGCTTGACTTTTTTTTTGTTTCAGATAGCGCTATAGGAGAGCGTCATAAAGCGTCTGCTAACTTTTATGCTGGTGCGTTTTCTGGCTTAGTATCTACGTTATGTTTGCAACCTCTTGACGTGGTTAAGACTCGAATGCAGCAAGGTTCTCAATATATTGTGAGTCCAAGTGTTACTTTGCAACGAGTGTTGTCTCCAAGGTAGTTTGTTTCCTTCAAGTTTCTATACTTTTTCTTTTTCGACTAAGATATAATTATTCTTTTCTCTTTTTATACCTCTATATAGGAACCCTCTTTCTGTAGCAGCCAGTATAGTTGCTAATACGGGTATATTGAGTTTATGGAGAGGAACTTCTCCTACCATAATTCGTAACTGTTTAGGTGTTGGTATTTACTTTGTTTCCTTAAACGCCATAACGAACTTGATGCAGTCTGATGACCCAGAGACCCATATGCCAGCTTGGAAAACTTTGTTAGCTGGAGGGCTTTCGCGTTCACTTTCAGCCGTTCTTCTTTGTCCTTTATCTGTGTTGAAAACCAGGTTTGAAGCTCAAGTTATCGATCAAAACCGCGGAATTATCAAAGCACTTGTAGAAATATACAAAAAGGAACGTCTTCGTGGTCTCTTTAGTGGACTTGTACCTACTATTGTGAGAGACGCTCCATATTCTGCAAGTTATTTTCTTATATATTTAAGAGTTCGTGAAGGTCTTTCTTCGATAGTGAATGGAACTTATTTTTCACATCTATCGATGACAAAAACAAACATTTCCTCTTCACCTTCAGAATATCATATGATAACTATGTCAGTTAGTTTCGTAGCAGGTTTAATAGGGGGTTTCGCAGCTACTTTTCTTACACAACCACAAGATGTTATCAAAACCAGAATGCAGTTGAGAGCTTATTCAATTAACCGTTCACAACAGAACGCCTCAACCATAGAAGTTATTCATACAATCTATCGAGAAGATGGTATTGTTGGATTTTTTCGTGGAGCTTCTCCTCGTTTTCTTAAACGTTGCTTGGGTTCTGCTATAACATGGATGATATATGAGGAGTTTGTGGCTATCTTTGATAAACTATTAAGTGAAAAAACTCAAAGACAGTCATCTCAACATGTTCGAGCATGATGAATAATACGTATTTGAAAGATATTGGAAAATGTTGGATACTCCTTATCTAAAAAAGAAAGGCTCGTTTGAAGGCTTTCCTAGTCACTATTCTTTTGTTGATAATGGAAATATGCTTGCTCTTTATATAATATACATAATATAACAATATGAGCCTCTTAAGAAAATGATAATTTTAAAACAGTACGTGAATAACTGTTCTTCATGTAATATAAAATAATATCTACCGAAACTTTCATAGAGTGTGATGAATGTAAGAATAGTAAGCAGCTGAGAACTGAAGTATATTATCATTCCTTGTTATTGTTCAAGTTACCTTCCTCAAAGCACAACTCCTGAATGAGAGCACAAGGTTTTGAATAGGTTTTTGATATTTGTGAAGATAAATATTCGTTTGGTTGCTTGTCTGTTCGCACTGCAAAAAGTAGAGACTGTGGTGAGTCTAATATATGGCGACGTTGATTTTTTTGTTCATAGTTTGAGCTTGCTTCTGTCCCCTGGTCAACTAATGCTTGTGTAACTAGCGAATAAAGCCTATGGCATTCAGGGTTATTGGGTTCCAGCTTTCGTACTTGTTCCAAGCTAGCAAGCGCAGAGTCCAACTGAAGTAAATTCAAAAACGCCGAAGACCTTCTCAACAAACTTTTCACAAGGACTTTTGTAGAGCACGTTCCCTTCTGATGCAAATCAATAGCTTTCTTTGCGTCCCGTTCTGCTTCTTGAAACTTCTCTAGTATCAGTCTTGTTTGGGCTAAATTGGAATAAAGAGCTTGAAGTGTGCTACGCTTT